GTAAAGGCTGTAGTTGTACTCACACTACACATTCATGAACAGGATCCAAAGCATGTAATTGTGCACCCTTTTTTATATCAGACATTTTCGGCTTGTGCATAAAACTGATCCAAAAGTATTTCATTGTGTAGCCTTACTGACACTAACCAGATAAAACACCAAATTCAGACAATTAAACAAAAAGGAAAACTTGTAGTTGACACACGTAAACAATGCCAAGTAGTAATTTACACTACATAGCAATATATTTTTTCTTGGATGTATATTGCTTTATGAGAAAGAAAAAAAATGGCACAAACTGGCATTAATCCGAGAGCAACACCGCAATAAATACTGTATGTATTTATATCATATTACTTACTACCAATACATGTGTTCTCTAATACACCAACATAGGTAGTTCATTGTACCTATACCTTTTACGTGGTGATTTAACCTTCCCTTAAGGCCCCTCCAATCAAAATGTGTTCTTACTGGTACCTCCCTTTTTATATGTTTGTGTCTCAGTGAACACAAACAGCCTGTGTACCAACAGTACACATGTTTGCTGTGCATTTGGATATTTGCCCTTCCTTGTATGCACCTGCTGTTTAGTCTGACCATATCTTTAGATTGCAGCTCCATGTCACTCTTTACCAAGAACTGTCTTCCTGAGTATGTTCATATGGGAACTAGTATCTTTGTTTTGATCTGATTTGGATTATTTACATATGCAATCTGGTTATTCATTACCCTGGATACTTCATTCTAACTGTATCCATCTTTCTGATCACTTTTGTCTAGTTTTCCCTTCAAGTACACCAGGTCATTTAACAAATGTAGGTTCGTAAACTACAGTATCCAAATTATTTAGTGTTAGCCTCAGAGCCTTAAGAGGGGAACATGTTATCAAGTTTAAAGTTGAATGCATCAGTTGGCCTTTGAGAGCTCAATTAAGAAGTTCCACCTTTTGCTCGTAGAAAATGCAGGTTAACATTTTGGGCTTTATATACAGTTGTAAACACATTGGTTGTGTTCTGTATATTGCACCTATGTAAAAAATATCCCTAGTTTTGTTTATTAGTTTTGTTGTAGGCTGTCCATTGTTCTATACCTTGTGTTTCCTTATATATAGACTAGAGTTCAGAGTCAAGAATGTCATTGTACAGGGAAACTTGATTTAACTGTGCATATGACAATTAGCGTTTACTCTTGATAGGAATGGTGATTACCTAATCAAAACCAGTCACAGCCACAAAGGAAAGAAATGCAACATATATATGCCTTAATTCAAATGTCCTGAAGAGTCAGAGTTAAAGCATATTGTCACTACATTGATCAAGCTATTATTATCTCAATTAGCACAGTTTTTTTATGATGGACGCAAGCTTGGACTGAAGTGGTATTGCATTTGAGTTGAAATAGATTTGTGTGTACACACCAGTAGTAAAGAGACCCTTCTTTGTGGCAGTGTTGCACAACTGTTGGTCCCCTCTGTTGGCTCAGCATTGTTTTTCCTCGTCTAACATCATGTGAGCAGGCAGTATTAGTTTGTGGCAATACTCTGCTGCCTGGAGTGACTCCTAACTGTTGCCCTAAATATTGTTGCATAATAATGTAACAATATTTAGCATCAACACAATATTGATGGAGATGTGACAGTCTGCAGAAAAAGAGAAAAATGTCTCTTATAAAGACATACTGAGCAGTCATCTGATTAAAGTCAGGAAAGATGGGAATAAGGGATGATGAATAGAGGAGAGAATGATTTTGAGGGGTTGAGGGGTTTGAGATGGGAGGAAGGATGATGAAGGAAAGGGGGAGGAGAGAGTGGCTGGTAGGGTGGGTTGGGTTGCTAGGGGAGAGTATGTCAGACTGCTGCTGCTGAGAGCCTGCCTGCTATTGGAAGCTACTTGCTTAGCAGGAGAGAGGCGGAAGAGGAGAGAGAGAAGTAGCTAATGAGTATTGTAGGCTGGTTGCTGAGACAGCACTGGGTTTATTTATAGAGTGCTGGCCAGCCAGCCCTTAGATACCAACAGCGAATCAGCTGACAGAGAAAGAGGGGGCCCCGGCCAATGGCAGCGCAAGAAGGGGGATGCCAGATTGAGGAAGTGCTGTGAGTGCCTCTCAGTCTCTTAAAGAGACGGTGCAGATTTCTCAGTACTAGGCAGATATTCTCTCTCCAGCAGTGTCATATCTCTGAGCAGGCCAAGACCGGAGCACCACAACAGGCCCAGAGACAGTGATTGGACTACCCTCTATCTTATATCACACAACACACAAATACAACTCCATTTAGCCACAGAGCTCTTATTAAAGTCATGTGTGGCAAAAGCTATTGAATACAGAATAGGAACATATAATATGTGTTAAATGTAATGTTAAGATTGATAGACATATAGCCCTGAACATCTCTTTTCCGTAGACTGTTCTAATCGATCTATTTACATCTACAAAAACCCAGGTTTGCCATGTAGGGCTTTCCACAAGAGACCCAGTACAGCAAGTGTTATCTGCTCTGATGTTGTCAACCAGCTTGTTAGCAGGGCCCATCCATGCTGGACTTCTCCATGCTGCCTCTCAATACAATCTTTATCCACATAGATATAGATTTACTGTAATGACAAATTGAGCAATGCCCTCTAGTCTTCACCTGCAACTGCACCCCTGTACATGGTTTAAGCACGGTTACCAAGTTTCAAAATGACAACGATGTGTTTCCTGGCACTTAATACCAACAAGACAAAGGATCTTATTCATATTGGAACTGAGGTTTAGCATGTTGCCAGCATCAAGTCGTCCACATCTCCAAGGACCTCTGTTGAAGCCTCAACACCTTAAACCTGGTCAAACACGCTCACCCTCAAATTCTGGTTTACCACTTTACCACTTTTTGCACTAGTTAGATCCCTTATTAATTTTGAGTCTTAGTACTTGTATTATGTGTAATTTCAATAAAGTTACATCTAATCTAAATTCTCTTAAGCTGGTTGGTGCCAATTATCAACCGTTTTTTACAACATGCAGTTGCTGATTTTGCATTGCTTAGAGACAACCACAGTTTCCATTCCTCACTTTAAACACCTCTTCCAAATGGATTTGTGAAAGTCATCATCTTACCTTTGTGTAATGCTTAAGGCATTTGATCAGATACAAATGATGAGATGAGTTGTTGCTGATAACCAGTATCAGATTGTATCATTGTGCCATTCCGCACAACAGACCATACTACTACACTGCTTTGTTACACAGCAGTCTGTACTGTATATCCAGAATCATTTAACCATTCAACATAAACTAGTTCAAAGTGAGTGCCATATTAGAAGTTGATATTTAGGCACATTTATAAATATTGCTTTTCCCATTTGTTGTTGATATTTCCCAGCTGCCAGAATGGAACCATCCCCCCTTGAAGCCTTTAACAGTAATTCACAGGTTGCTCATTCAGACAGAGGCTGCCACCTCCATCACTCCTCCCAGTCCAGCAGCTGAACTGGAGGAAGAGAAGTGGTCAGCAGCTCAGCCACTCCCTGTCCTGTAAATCAAAGCATCATTCATTATGCAGTAAGCCTCTCTGTATTCTTACTCACACATGTCCTTTTTTGGTTGCTAGCTCACTTGCTATGTGAGGTTGCAGAAAGTGCTTGCACTGGCTGATACATTGAAATAAACAGATAACATATCAATCCTTATCATCTGCTCACTTGCCCTTGAGCCATGATGCTCACACAAACTACCGGGTGTGCGTTACACATCCACCGTCCACCAGCATATGCTTACGTTGAAAGGTCAAAGAGCAGCTGATACTGCTCACTGATTGGCCATTACAGACTCTGGCTCTGATTGGCTGTAGGAATGTGTTGATTTTCCACCTCTTTCCTGAGAAAGATGTGTTTGCTTTACAGGAAGAGATACAAAACTCAACCACTATCATGTGGTTGTGTTGACCACATGTAGCTTTTGGAGTGGTTCTCTTTGCTCGGCCCAGTTTTGGCCCATGTCTCAGCATGTTGAGGGGCTGAACTCGCATAAGAAGCCGGTAGAGATCACTTTGATTGGTTGTTCTGAATCACTGTTTCAGATGTTTTCAACTGCATCATTTTTATATTTCTTGCATTTGCAAAACAATTTGACAATGCCAATTTTTTTAGAGTTCACTTCCTGTCTGTCTTTTTCTGCTGTTCCCTTTAGTGTTCACTTCCTGTCTGTCTTTTTCTGCTGTTCCCTTTTAATATTTTCTGACAACAGTTTGTTTACCACAGTCCAAATTGACCAATTAGAATCAAGTATTTAACGAAGCCATTTAAAAAGAAGTGGAGAGAAGCTAATTATCATATTATTAAAAAAATAAAAAGGAAAATTGCCTAAATATATATAGGGCTCTAGAGCCGTTATCTCTCCGATTTGGGATCCTCCTGTGCTTGTTTTAAATCTGTAGAAAAAAACCTGAAAACAAAATACATTTATGGATTTGGGAATTGAACAGATGTCACCATCGGATGTTCATTTGTTGTTTTAGCTTTGAAGTCTTCAAAGATGTATCAGCAGTGTATACAGTCTGTTGGCTGAGTAACGGGAGAGGTCAGTACAGAAATGTCAAATGTGTGTTAGGTGTCATTTTAAATATCACTTTGCAGTTTTTTTGATGACCAGACTAATAACGTTCATATTATGTGTTGATATAAAACCAAATCAACTCAGATGTTGTAGCTGCCAGTATCGGCTGGAGCTTTAACAACTTCTCCTCGCTTCGAATTTGTTACGTTTTCAACATGGGATATTCACTGCTGCATGGGTTTCAAATGTTTTGTGCCCTTTTGGAACCTTGGAGCTTTTGGATTTGTGTTGTAGAGTATGTATTGCCAATATGTAAAATATGAATGAGTGACTTTTTCTGATTGGTTGTGGGGAAAACAGAACAGCTACTGTCAACGATGGAGGCAAATGATTAGAATGTCTGGGGTTTCCCTCTCTAATCATCTCTCTCTCTCTCTCTCTCTCTCCCCCCCCCCCCCCCTCAGGTGTTAGCAGCTCAGGATGTCCGCCCACCTCCTCCTCCTCCTCCTCCTCCTCCTCCTCCTCCTCCACTGCCCAGGGATTCTCCCTCGCTGAGCCAGCCATGACCAGCCAGCACACACATACACACCCCTCCTTCAGCTCCATCCACTCCATGGCCGAGCAGCAGCAGGTAACACTCACACACACACACACACACACACACACACACACACACACACACACACACACACACACACACACACAGTGACTACCTGTTTCACCTGTTGATCGTCATAGCAGCACTGCAGCAAGAGCGATGTGTTTAAATTATTTTACATGTTTTTAATATAGAATTTGTTGCCAAGCTACTGACAAGAGACTGCTGCCATAAGATCCTCAAGGGAAAAGGGTTATATGTCATATTTTTCATTAATTGACTCTGCTAAAGAACGACTGTTGTACTGGGCAGAACGTTTGCAAAGACGATAGCCTCTACTAGTTAACCGGATATATCTATATACAGGGGTGCACATAACTTTCTCAGTGAGGTACTCAGATGAGTACCTGGAGTCAGTGTTTGGTAGTCCAACTTCTGGCTCCACTCAAAGTTATTTGATGAAGCCCTCTGCGAACGTCAACGGGGGGGTGCTAGTGGAGTACTTCCGTTGTACAGACCGACGTTAACAGCAGCCCTGTCTGTGCACACGGAGACCGACTTTGTGACACAAGTGACGGTACGCATTTCAGATTGTTGCCGCGCATGCGTACCTGCGTACCAGTTATGTGCACCCCTGTCTATATACCTAAGTGTTACTGAAAAAGGCCAAAGTACTTCTTGAATTTGCCTAAAACAGTCGTAGTAATCTCAGAAACCTCTAGGGGAAAGCTTAGGCAAGAAAACTGATCAAATAGTGTCTTCATAATATCTGTTGCCACTGTATGCTTTACACATAATCCATTAAATGTGTTTATCTGGATATTTATAGGCAAGACATTTGATTCTGCCCATTTTTCACAAATATAACTAGTTGAAATTCATAGTTATGGAGAAATGTCGAATCTCAAGGACAAATGAAATGTAAAAAGCTATATTTTAACACATTTTTAATTATTTATCTTTTAATGGATATTTTTTCTTGGATTTCTTATGTTTATAAATCTTATTTTATCTTTTTATTGTACATTCTTACTTCTTACATTTATATAAGAGATTATATTTGATTTAATTTGTCTTTTATATCATTCATTCTAAATTGCAACAACTGTCACGAAAACCAACTGTCACCTGGGTTTATTAAAGTATTTCTGTATTTTGATTAGGAATAATTCATTATTTGTCAAGACAAAAGTCTGAAATGTGATCCAAACCATATGATATGTAAATAAAAGTATGTATTAGTATAAAGCCATCCTTGGTTGTTCCATAACAGTGGAAGTAAAGTCCCAATGAAGTATCTATGTACACATGGTTCACTCAGATGTGTTGCTGCCTGGTGAAGCTCATGGAGAACAAGACCACTTTTCCTCTTGGAGCAGAGCAACTTCTTGTCCTCTCAAAGATAATCCAGGGGTGCGTTTCACTTCGGTTAAATGGATTCCTTGCGTCCCTCACTTGCGTCGTTTCCCTGCGACTAGTCCCTCCCACCAGGGAAGCATGGAGAGACGCAAGGAAACCACGAGAAGCAGGGAAATGAGTTTTGAGAGCAATGGGACGTCGTTTCCTCCGGAGCGTCACGTGAAGCGACGTCTGTTTGTGATGACGCCGCACAGCTGATCGTCTGACAGCAGCCAGATCAGTGCATGCGCTGCATCGTCCAATCAGTGAGCGATACACAGTAAGGGGGCGGGACGAGTGTCTGCGGATTTCAGCGGAGGATGGTCTGGTAGTTCCTCGATTATCGCTCCTCCGTTATCACTCCTCGATCCTCGGTCCTCGGCAAAAATAAGGCCACTGGGACGCTACTCAAGATGGCGCAGACAAATCAACTTCCGGTGATACCGAGACCGAGGAGCGAGGAAATGAAAAATAACCGAAGTGAGACGCACCCCAGGAGTCATGGGAATTTGCTTATCCCATCAACATGTGATCTTTGGATTGGAGCATGTTCCACCAGCTGCAGGCGCAGGGGCTGCAAGCATTTGACTCCAACAAGGTTTCATCTTGGTACCTCTTGTGGTTGCTGCAAAGTGTGTATGGCCAGGACTGGAGGAGCAGCTTTTATCTGGAGACGATACATGTGTGTGGCATTATGGTGGTGTCAACACCTCTAAAATATAAAACCACAGCATGCTCTCAGAGGAACACGTGATTTCTAATCAGGTTGAGGGGGTGCATGAGGGGCTCTAAGGAGCAGATGAAGAGGGGTTCAGGCCCTTAGCTGACAAAATTGCTCCGCTAAACTTATCTTTGTGAATATAAAAAATGGTCAGTAATGTCCTGATACCGGCCCGGTTTAAAACCATACCAATATGAGTCGTGTGTATGAACTGCTGCTGTCCTGTGCAGGTGCTGTCTGATATGACCATACTCCAGCGGAGGATCCCCCCCAGTTTCAGAGACCCTGCCAGCGCACCACTGAGGAAACTCTCTGTTGACCTCATCAAAACTTACAAGCACATCAATGAGGTATGACACACACACACACTTTTCTGGGTTTGAACACAATTTTAGTTATTGAAAGTATTTACCTTTTTTTTTGTGCCATACGAAATGAGTGCCTGCCAGATATTGTATATGTTGGCTATGGGATGAAAAGAATTCAGGTCCCTGCCACCATGGGTTTTCCTTATCTAAGGAAATATATATATATTTTTAAAGCAATTCTTAAGTCAACTATAGAAAGCAGACCTTTACAAATGCTATTCCCTTAAAAAGTAGAAAATGATACTTGTTTCCATCACAAATTGTTACGGGTTGTTCCGCGGCGCATGCTACACGCCTACATCATTTCCATGAAAATTGGGACAGTCATTTTCTCAACTCAGCTGATTTAACCGGCTCCTAGTCCCTGAGTGATGATGAAGAATTATGGTAGTTGGAGGTTTGGGGTCTTTTAGATGGACTATGAAGCAGAACAGGGTCCTGATCTGTTCTAATCCCCAGGTGTACTATACTAAGAAGAAGCGACGGGCCCAGCAGGTCCCTCCAGAGGACAGCAGCACCAAGAAGGAGAGGAAAGTCTACAACGACGGCTATGACGACGACAACTACGACTACATTGTCAAAAATGGAGAAAAGTGGCTGGACCGCTATGAGATAGACTCGCTGATCGGGAAGGGCTCCTTCGGACAGGTGAGGCCAAAATCTATCTGAAGTCAAAAGTATTGGCAGCAGAATAAACTTAAAGTACCAAAAATAAAAGTACTCGTGCGTAAAAGCCCATTTTTAAAATCATATTTATTCTATATATCATATCATATTTTGACTATTGATGCATCAATGTGTTCATCAAAGCTAACAATTCCTGCTAGGAGCTACATTTGAATACTTTTGATACTGCTGCTGGATATTTGAACCTATAATTATACACCATCATTTGTATTGTGAAAACCAATACAAATGAAATCAATAACAACTTCAATTAATAATTTTAAAAAAACCCTCCCTGCTAAATTGTTATGTTAAACAAAGGAATTGTTAGCACCCTGGAAAGTGGGACCATTCACTGTAGTTGACTCCACGGGTTATATACAAGGCAGGCTCCAGTTTTGCTGCATCTAATGAAGGAAATGCAAGAGTCTGGCATGGCATGACGAATGTGTTGATGTGTATCTGCAGGTGGTGAAGGCCTACGACCACCATGAGCAGGAATGGGTCGCCATTAAGATCATCAAGAACAAGAAGGCATTTCTAAACCAGGCTCAGATTGAACTACGCCTGCTGGAGCTCATGAACAAGCATGACACTGAGATGAAATATTACATAGGTAAGAAGGACAACACAAAGGGTACAGGGGTCCGAAAAGCACTGTCGGACCCCAACCAGAACTTTGAAGAAGGAAGCTCAGCAATATATTATAGAAGTACACAAAACAATAAAGCGATATCAAGGCTTGTGTACTGTAGATTTCTAGCCGGATGACGTGTTAGCTTTCTCAACAACTTTGACCCACTGATAAAGACTGCTTATATAAGATGTTAGTTATACAAAATCCCAACATTGGAATCAGGGAGGCCCTATTTGGCTTTTTGGTATTCCCTTTCCTGTTGTGTGGTATATAGACAATTCATTTAACACATACTATGACAGCACAACATACCGGTTGGGGTGAAATGTATTATGAAAGAAACCATTCCATGACCCCTTACCTCACCTTGAATGTGACACTTGGAAATTAGGTATTCAAATAGCATTTATATATAAAAGCCAACACTCCAAAAGTCTGTATTATTCAAAGAAATGATTTCAAAGTTGTCCTGTACTCATGCTAACCTCCTTCTTTGTCTCCCTTCTCCTGTCTGTGTGTGTCTGGGTTGCAGTCCACCTGAAGCGTCACTTTATGTTTAGGAACCATCTCTGTTTGGTGTTTGAGTTGTTGAGCTACAACCTGTACGATCTGCTGAGGAACACCAACTTCAGAGGCGTCTCCCTCAACCTCACCAGGAAGTTTGCACAGCAGCTGTGTACAGGTGGGGGGCCTCGACACACTCACGAGTCACATGTGCTTTTAGCTTCTCGTTGTCTGCCCCCGAGTGGCGGAAAAAAAGAATGCACTTCTTCATCAAATCATAAAGAAAGACTGTTGCAAATCACATTCAGTAGGTCATAATCAAATGATTTTGGGTTTCTTTTATCCACAGCATTATTATTCCTGGCCACTCCAGAGCTGTCAATCATCCACTGCGACCTGAAGCCTGAGAACATCCTGCTGTGTAACCCCAAGAGATCTGCCATCAAGATTGTGGACTTTGGATCCTCTTGCCAGTTGGGGCAGAGGGTGAGCAGCGTTCATTTGTCAAAGTGCATTTATTAAAGTCTATGTATTAAATCGCCATTATTCCCTGTGGCGCGTGCTTGCTGGAGGAAGCTCCGCCCCCGGTGATACTCATCATTTGGGTTAGAAAGATCAATGAATTCAAGTAACACTACAATACCTATGTCAGTATAAAACCAAACATCTGTTATGGTTTTGTACAAAATCATTTGACCTTTTTTTGGTCTAATGTGTTTTAAAATTCTGCATTTAGGTAATTTGAGTTAATCAGCAGTATTCTGTGTCTATGGAAAAGTTCAATGCACAAACCAAACAAAAACAACAAAAATAATTGAAATGAACTAATATGAAGAGTTCAAGAGGCAGCAACAGACTTCACTGTGGCTCTGTTAATGGAGCATGGCTCCTCCTAGTGGACAGCTACTGAAACAGCAGGCAACCAGAGTTGGGAGGGTTACTTTAAAAATGTATTCTGTTACAATTAGTAGTTATCCGTGATGTAAAATGCACATAAAAAATAGAGAAAATAAATATGAATAGGATGTTTTTTACTTAAATGTATTATGTAGAACAACAGAAAAATGTGACCTTAGAAAAGAAGAAACCAAGATATTTAGGATCAGAAATGATTTTATTGATAGGAAAACCTGCCTTTCATTCAGCATATTCAGGCAGCCGTCTATACACCAAAAATGAAACACATGAGCACATACTACAGTTTAAAAAAAATCAGAAATAAAATCTAGCTCCGTTTTAGTTTAATACATACAGTTGAAACTTAAAAAAAAGCTTCAAGGTATAATAACATTACTGTCTTCATGTCTGTCCTCCTCTCAGATCTACCAGTACATCCAGAGCAGGTTCTACCGCTCTCCGGAGGTGCTGCTGGGCATGCCCTACGACCTGGCCATCGACATGTGGTCTCTGGGCTGCATCCTGGTGGAGATGCACACAGGAGAGCCTCTGTTCAGCGGCTCCAACGAGGTGAGCCCTCAATATTAACTCTGCATTTAACTGTTCAGAAGAAAAGTTAGTGAAACAACTTATAGGAGGAAGTGAAAAATGGATATATATTTTTATTTAGTATTAGAAGATTAGACACATTCTCCATGTTGACATGCGTTTGTGTGTGTTTGTAGGTGGACCAGATGAATAAGATTGTGGAGGTGTTGGGGGTTCCACCCGCCCACATGCTTGACACGGCCCCTAAAGCCAGGAAGTATTTTGACAAGCTGTCAGATGGCCTGTGGACAGTGAAGAAGAACAAGGACATCAAGAAGGTATCTGATCCATTTCAATGTTTTATTCAAAGGTCAACTCACTCTTCAAAGTGAACAAGTGTGTGGGTGCTGCACCGTTGTTTTTGTGAGAAGTTTATCAAAAACGATTCATGACAAATCTATATTTTGCAAATATGTCCATGTTTCAGAGCAGCAAGTACCTCCCTTATCATGTGTGGTGGTAATGGAGCCTGAAATCATTTTTTTCTGTATCTTAATATGTGTGCATGGTGTGTTTCCAGGAGTATAAGCCCCCGGCCACGCGGCGTCTTCATGAGATTTTGGGTGTGGAGACTGGAGGCCCAGGGGGCCGCAGGGCAGGGGAGCCGGGACACGCCCCCTGCGACTACCTGAAGTTTAAAGGTGAACAACACACACTGAGGGGTTCTATTTACATCCATATAAATACAATCAATATGGCAGTCAAATTCCAGATGAGGAAGTCACTGTTGTCAGGCTGCGTTACAGACAATCACCAATGTCCATGTGCTACATGTGCAGCAGGAACAGAGAAGAAGTGGAGTCCGTCCTCATTCCCTGCATTTTCTCCTAAATACTGTAAAGTCACTAACAGAGTTGAAGTTAAATTAATTGTTTTTCATTGTTCCAGGTGATAAATTCATTCAAATGTCAAATGAACACCCATAATTGTCATTGAAACACCACACACACCTGTGTGAGCTGAAGACACATCAGAATTGAAGGGCTGCATTTCATTTAGACAGTAGATCTCATCCAAAATAAGTTTCTGAGTCAGTGTGTGGAGCAGCAGTGGCTCATCTCTTTAGCCAGTCAGGAGCACAATGTGCAGGTAACATACTCCATATTGACTTAGTTCCTGTGGCTAAATATTATCCTCATCATGTCCCGTAGATCTGATCCTGCGCATGCTGGACTATGACCCAAAAAGCCGCATCACGCCATTCTACGCCCTGCAGCACAATTTCTTCAAGAAGACGACAGATGAAGGAACCAACACCAGTTCATCAACGTCCACCTCTCCTGCCATGGACCACTCCCATTCAACCTCCACTACTAGCTCTGTTTCTAGCTCTGGTAAACACACAACTACAACTAATCAGCTCTGGGAAAACGATTCATCATAAAAAGTAGCAGTGTGTACTGCTGTGCTGTGTTTTGTTGTGTTTTATTTAACCTGGCTCTGTTTTGTCTCTAGGTGGCTCCAGTGGTTCTTCCAATGACAACCGCAACTACCGCTACAGTAACCGCTACTACAACTCTGCTGTTACCCACTCAGACTATGAGATGACCAGCCCTCAGGTACACACAGCTCACACACACTGTCCTGGAATACACTCACAGCAGAAGTGAAATATAGCACTGCCATCTAGAATACCACATTTCAGTTTAGGGATATATTGTGCAATATTTAAAGAGTAATCGAATTTTGATCTCATTAAAGATCCTGTCCTAGCCATTTCAGTGTGGTTAAAGGTACCAAATGTGTAAATGAATTATGGGCAAGCCTACCATTATTTAGCAACTTAGAATAATGGAGAAGGGAAATTGAAATTGAAATGTTTTGGAGTTGCAAAAATGTGTGAAACAACACCTCATACTGTACCATAAGAGAACAGAGATAAAAACACTGACCACATGGTGTTGCTTTTAGTTTCTTGATGATTGCATCTCATCCCCCCCAGGCTCCCTCCCAGCAGCAGATGAGGATGTGGCCCGGCAGTGATGGTGGAGGTGGGGGTCAGGACCCAGCATACACCCAGTTGCTGCTCCACAAGCCGGCTGCCTCCCAACAGCACCAGCGCCACTTCCTGGACGCGCCCCACCACCCGCACCCGACCTACTCCCACCACGGGAACGGTGGGCGTGGCCTGCGGCAGGGCGGACAGACGGGCATCGGTGGAGTAGGGGGCCAGCAGGGATCCCCGCCCCAGATGAGTGACAGCATGGATGTGGGCGTGTCCCTAGGGCTGCACCACCTGGGGGCGGTGTCTTCCATGGAGGCCTCTCAGTTCGGCTCGGCCTCCCTGCCCCTCGCTCTGCCAATCGGACTGTCTGCCTTCCGGACTCGGACGGCCCCCACCGCCCCAGGGCCACAAGCCCCGCCCCCTGAGGACTACTACCCTGCGTCCAACAACAATAACCCCGCTGGGGGGGGCAGAGGGAGGCCGGACTCAGACGAGGGGCCAGCCAACTCTTGATAAAACCTGAACCATGCCCTAAAGCCATACAATTTTAACTACAACTACTACAACTACACACACAGCCAGAGTTCAGAGACAAAGAGGTGAACTTTGTGCTGCAGGAGACAGTCTGTACTGCATGAGAGGAGGAGGAGGAGGAGGGGGAGGAGGAGAGGGAGAGGAGGAACAGGAAGAGGAGGAGGAGGATGCTGGGAGAACTCTCCTTTCATCCCGTTTTAGTTTTTTGTCTTTTGTTGCGACTGTAATTGGAAAGGAATGATTGTGACAAGTTTGTTTTTATTAATATTATTATTATTGTTGTTTAATATTATTTGATTTTTTCTCGGGTTTGAGGAGTTGTGTGTTCTACTTGGTTGTTGTTTAAGCCTGGAGAGGAGGAGGGGGAGGAGGACGAAGAGGAAGAGAGGAGCCATGCTTTTCGATTTGATCTCCATTCAGATCACCTGTTAGTTCCGGCATTACAGTTTTTCATATTAACAGTCAACACACACACACACACACACACACACACACACACACACACACACACACACACACACACACACACACACACACACACACACACACACACACACACACACACACACACACACACACACACACACACACACACTGTTGCATCAAGAAGGTAGAGGCTGGTGTGAAGGGAGGAGACGGCACCACGTGTGGTTTAGGACTCATGGATGGCCTCTGTGCTGAACTCTTTTTCTCCACGTTTCTCTGCTGCTCCCCCCCGGCTGTGGCAGAGGACGGAGAGAGGGAGGGCGGTGGAGGGAGGAGAAGGTGGCGGGACACTCGTAGGGATCTCCTTCTCCTCCTAGTCCCCCCCCCCCGTCCCTGCCCTGCTTTCTTCTTTCTCTCCTCCTCCTCCTGTTGTTTCTCCTCCAGACAGCTCCTCCTCTCTGTGCTGCTAATCACCATGACAACTGGTCCGGATTGCTGCTAAAGATCCAACACAGATCAATAAAGAAATAAAAAGAAATAGAAACAGAAATTTAAAAAAAAACTTTTTAACCCTTCTGCTTAAGAGAAAAGGATAAAGTAAGAACCACTGCATCTCAATGTATTTATTACTATTTAACAAGAAAAAACAAACTGAAAGTAACCCTTTTTTCTGCTCTTCTTTGTTTGGTTGCCTTCTTTCTGCAGGTGAGCTCTGATTGGCTATTGTAACAGTGACAGTAACTGGTGACATGGGAATGCCACCGGTTGTGGGGGCTGGGTGGAGGGGAGGGGTTTGGGGCAAAATAAAGTTGGATATATAATAAGAATAAAGAGTATACTTTTGCACACCAAAGTTAAACAAACATCAGATCTCCGCTTTTCTTCCTACTAATCTGATCCTTTGTTCCTCCTGTAGACTGCGAACTGTGGCCAAAGATCCTAGGGAGTGTTCAATATTCACTAACGATAAGACATAACAAAACAATCACAACTTCAATACACACTCAACCAATGTGCCGATCAGACAAAGACTGGTGAAACATTGTTTAAGGAAGAATTCATCATAGAGGCCCCATAACACTTCTATAGGCTTTCCCTCTCCTGTAGTGTGTTATATACTGTAGGTTTGTGTGCATGTCAACGGTCTGCAAAGGCTCAAAACCCTGTGTTCCCTCCAATGGGAGTTTCTCTCCCACACTCCCCCCCCTTCCTTAAACGCCTTCATTGGACTCCTTTGTTTACTTCTGTAACATAGTGACATCACACGCTCTGGTTTCACACAGAGGGTGAAAAGAGGTGCTGCAGCACAGGCAGTATGAGAAAAATAAAGAGCTTTTACATTCAATTAAACTTATCACAGAGGCAAAAAACACAAATATGAACCTGAAAATTAGCATAATATGTCCTCTTTAAATTGATCAGATGGCCACATTTCTTAAAGATCTCCTATCATGCAAAATACACTTTTTGATGTCTTATACATAAATATGTGTCCCCGGTGTGTCAGGGAACTCAACTCACAAAGTGTCCGAAAACAAAACCCTCTCTCTTTTCCCCGGTACCCAAATCTCTAAAAACGGGGGTACAACGGAGCTGATCCAGATTTGCTGACAATATTACGTAATATTGGAAATGTGGGCTGGCTTTACACCCACGGACCTATCGGAAACGTTGCTACAATGCGTGACGTGTTTTGGAAGTACTATGGTCTTTGTTCACATTAGCAAGCATCTCTAACGCTGTACTGGAGAGAGCATGTGTAAAACAGCAGGATATAAAAAGGTACTCACCTTGTTGTAAACCCGCAAGAAAAAAAGCATTTGAGCTCCATACTGTTTTAGAAATAATCCTTGATGTGGTTTGGAACACAATATGGCATTTAATCACGGCAGCATTTAGCTGTATCTGAGCAGAGCAGCCACTCTTCTCTCTGGAGCTCAAAGTGTGCTGCTCCAAAGGGGGCGGGGCCAGCATCAGCCCAGTTCACATGTGAAGCTGCTGACCCAGAATCAGCCATTCTCTAACAGGGTTGAAACAGAGGGATATGAGGGATGTCTAAAATGCATGATCTGTTTGGTATTTTGAGCAAAACACATCATAGACATGTTTTTATATATTTTTATACATCTAATCTGAGACCCATAGTATATGCCTAAAAATAGCATAATAGGAGGCCTTTAATGTTAAATACTTTTGGACTTATCTATATAGATAAGTCTTCAAATGTTGAAATGCTTAAAGATAGTTGGTCACTGTAGGAATAACATTAAGACGCATACAGTTATTTGCAATTGACAATATTTTGGCGGATTTTGCACCACCTTAGTAACTATTAACTAATGTTTATCATTTATTGTTTTCATGACGTAAATCCCAACGCCTTGTAAGATACAACAGATAGCAGCAGCATCATTCAGCACAGAACTGATGGAGGAGATAATCTGCTGATAGAAACGAGTCAAAACTGACAGCTATAGGCCTACTGATCTCAGACCAGTGGATAATATTTCATGAACTAATTGTCAGAGAGTTCCTGTTTTTTTTGTGACCCAGTTTCCATAGAAGTGTATTAGTGCACATGTAAAATGGTGGTGTGTCTAGGCTGTGTTTATTATGGTCCACACACTCTGTGGCAGATTCATCAATACACAGTTTACTGTTTGCTTTACTCACATGTATATCACCATGGTAACAAGACTAGACCCCTTTGGTAAGCCATCACCTATCACGCTCCTGACACAGGCCTGTGGCACAAAGTAGGACCACTGCTGTATATCACCATGGTAACCTATGCTGCACGCTTCAGAGGATCAGATCAGACCGCTGATATCACATCTGATCATCACATGATCACTGCTAGAATCCAAGGATTTTCTAAACCGGTTTTAAAACATGGATTGTTAAACTAAATAGTGCAGAATACGAAGATCATTGGAAATAAGAGGTAGAATTCTTGTGCATTATAAGAGAATAACACATACTGTTAATTTCTCCCTGTTAATGTAAAAGGAACATTTTGGTCAAAGAGAGGTTGCCTGGCATGAACTAAGTTTATTTTTCTTTTGGCGTCATGGCGTTTATTGTCATTTTGTGTCTCTTTGCAGTCATTTGATTACCTTGAGACCCACAGCCTGTGCCTGGTTAGCCCCTCTAGAAATACATCAGTGGCTTACTTATAATATTTGGTACTTTTTTATTCCTTTTTACTGCTACAAGAATATCACCATTTCGTCCCATTTCCAATTTCCTTCTTTAATAAAAGGCAATCATTGTGTCCTGTATACGAAAAATGATATTGATAAATTAAATTGTCCCCTTTCCTACTTCCTATCCCCTGTACTTCCTTGCTCGGACCACCAACATCTTTGAACTAGACCTTCATGTTGATCTCAACTACAAACCTGCAGGGATTAGTGAATGCATGTTGTGGGTTTTAACGCTATTGCGGTGACAAGGCTGACTGACAGACAAACAGACACCTGGCAAAGAACTCAAACTCCCTCTGCGGTACTTCCTGTTACAGTAGGTGTTTCCAGGAGCACATCTTTTTTCTATTTTTCATTTATGAATTTGATTAAAAGCGGCTCCTGAGAAGATGACAGCCCATGTTGTCATGGGATGACATAATGACCTCAGAATCTCAGCATGTTATTGTGAGGACCCCTCTTAGCACTTGGCAATCCTTTACAAAAAAAAGGAGATAATATCTATAATAGTAATAATATAGCGATACTGAAATAAGAAACACCACCTAACTCACCAAACGCTTACATTTTTTTTCTACTTTTGATCATTTAACAGTAAAGAGCCATGCCCTAGTTTCCAACTCCTATACTGATAGATCAGCACAAATAGAGGCAGGAGAAGAGAGAAACTTGCTCTCGCAAATTGAAAAAGGAAGCTGGGAAGAAAACCAATCACTACAGGATTGCTGGGAATATCCATGTTCCAGGGCCAGGGGTGTAGAATTGGGTGGACAATGAAGGAATGAACAAAGAAATACTTGTAGCAATAATTGGAATACAGTGGGTTGAAGACATCAAACCTGATAGTGATGTGATATGCTCATACTCCTTGTACATCTAAGAAAGCAAACAGTCAGCTACTACTGTCAGAGAAGATTTACTTATTGAACTAAGTCATAGTTTCTTAAAACTTCACAGAGGTGGCATAGTGCCTGCCCACGAGGGCCTTAAAGGGTGATAAACTAGCGAGAAGTGCATTGCTAAAGGAAAACATGTCCAGTTTCACTTGAAAAATTGAGAAGGAAATAAATGATTAAGAAGAAAGTAATGTAAATGTGTCAGAACAGGTAGGAGGAAGACCAGAAAGAAAGAGGGCCAATCACCAATTACAGAAAATAGTAATTAGAACGATCTTTAAAGAAAGGAGGGAGGAAATCGTCATAACTAGACTCAAGTTGAATCACATAGGATTAAATGGCACAATGTTGTCCCTTTGTGACAGTGAGTGTTGGAACTGTGAAGTAAAGAAAATGTGGGAAATATATTAAATTACACCGTGTTTGAAACAGAAAAGCTAAATGGTGAAGTTTGAGGCAATGCCTGGATGAACAGAAGGGGGGGGGGGGTTAAGATTGAAGAACTACCAGGAAGACACTACTTACTTAAAAACGGGGTTGGTAAGAAGAAGAATAAAACACGTGACGATACACACTAGCGTACAGTAGGTGGCGGTATGCACCTGTAGCTGTTTGCGACCCGCGAAAAATCCAGACAAGAAGAAGAATGGTGTGGTGCTTATGTGATACTCTTCGTTCATCCTGCGCCTAAAGCAAAGGTAACACCGTGACCTTTTATTCTCTTTCCATCACTATAATTAAGTCAGTGTTGGTGTGTGTGTTTGATGGTAGCTGTCTGCGAAGTCTGTCTCCTGTTAGCAACGATACAGTCATCCTTTGTTTGTGTTACATATGCTGTGTAACTAACTGTGTCTGCAGCAGCCAGGTACAGCTCCCTGTGCTACTGACAGCACTAACCAGCCTCCACAAGTTCACTTCCGATATACATTTCATTTTATTTTTCTTTAATAGGAGCCTATTTTATAATATATATATAACAATATGCAGACCGTATAGTCCCTGTTCAGCTTCTCTGAGCTGCCCTCATAGTGCTACAGTTTTACACAGGACCTTTTATGGCACCATTATATGTCATTAACTTGCACATAAATGTGGCCTGACAACGCGAGTTGGACAGGAAGCTATGGAAGTTAGTAGACTACCATTTAAATATGAGCAAAGGTGGAAAAAGTACGACAGTGTGGAATACTCTGTTACAAATAAAAGTCCTGCTATCAAAATGTTACTCAGGTAAAAGTAGCAAAGTCATCAAAATATACTTAAACTACTAAAAGTAAAAGTGGTAATTCTGCCGATTGACCCATTTCAGAATAATATATATGATATGTTTTATAATGATTGATCATTAAAGTGTTCTCAAAGCTGGTAAAGGTGCAGCTAGTTGTAATGACTTTGTATACTGCAGGGTAGCTTGTGAATTTACTCCAGGTGGAACTAAAGTCTGATTTAACACTTGATTATATTTCAATCCAAATATGCAAAGTAACTGAAGGTATTAAATAAATGAAGTGGAGTAAAACTACACCATTTACCTCTCAATTGTATTCGGGTAGAAGTACAAAGTAGCAAAACATGAGACAACAAAAAGTACAAGTCTGTCAAAATTGAACTTAGGTAAAGTACTTGAGTAAATATACGTACACCACTGGAAATATGAGATATTACATCCTTGGTCCAAAGAGCAAATATGGGTGAGACTAAAAGCAGGAACTGTGACAGGTATGCAACATATTATGGGGACTCAGAATATGAAATAGTACTTATTACAATTATTATTGATATCAGTATTATTATCTCTATCTATTATTAATATCTGCAGTTTTACCTAAATGAAACTGTCATGGATGCTAGAAGTGCAGCTGACCTCAGGACAGTTGGACAGACAGCATAGTGCTGAGTCATGATCTGTATCAACAGGCTGCTGAGTCATGATCTGTATCAACAGGCTGCTGAGTCATTATCTGTATCAACAGGCTGCTGAGTCATTATCTGTATCAACAGGCTGCTGAGTCATTATCTGTATCAACAGGCTGCTGAGTCATTATCTGTATCAACAGGCTGCGTTCAGCAGACACACCCGGCTGCTCTGAACTCTGATCTGTGTTTGCCAGCAGCCAATGACTACAGTTGCAGTACTTGGAGGGGGGATTGGGGGTTTGGCAGCATCCTACTACCTATGCAAGAGCCCCCAGGTTACCAAGGTAACACACACACACACACACACGCACACACGCGCGCGCGCACAGACTATCTTTAACTAGGGCCTTCTTCAGTGAGGAAGTGATTGGTGCCTAGGAAGAATAACTGCAGGGAGGGAAATATTTGATGTGTAAAATATTGAAAACATATTGAAAATAAACCAAAGGACTAAACATAATAAGATTGACCTGAAACACCGCACCACTGCATTTGACTACATTTGTCTTACCTTTCTGTGTATGTTTCACGTTTCAAACACATATTTTTTTCCTCCAGGTAATTGTTCTTGAGTCCAGCAGTCGCTTCGGAGGTTGGCTGAGCTCCACCAGGAGGTCGGATGGCGCCGTGTTTGAACATGGACCCAGAGGGATCCGACCTGCGGGGGCAGTGGGACGCAACACCCTCAATATGGTACGGTAAAAGGAACTTAGGAATCTTTTAAAGTTTACGGAAGGTATAACTTTATCTATATCCAGGAAACTGTTGTTGAGATGCAGGCAGATACGGGTAGGGATTGAAGGGTTCTGAAGACCCAGTAGTGAATTTTCTGTGTGATGTGTGTGTTTAGGTCGATGATCTGGGTCTCGGCGGGGAGATTCTGCCGGTCGACTACAGCCATGTCGCCTCTAAGAACAGATATGTGTACGTGAACAAACAGCTGCACAGGATGCCTTCAGGGATAAGGTGAGACTGTAGAAAAGTGTTGTGCCATGACAGGCCATTCACCGATAATGACATACAACAGTGATAACACCTCCCTGCTGAGTAGCTAGGGAATGCATTTGACCTTTATGAGCTGTGTGATCGTACCTGGTACAGTGGCTGCAGAACTGTCTGAATGTTCAGTTAAAGGTGAAATGGACATGATGGTAACATTACAAGGACATTTCGGTTGCTAACTAACAATCTGATCCTTTGCCTAAGTAATTAATTAATTTCTATTTTTCTCTCTCTCTTCCCATCTCTTCGTCTCTCTTTCAGTGGACTTCTGCGCACCGTGCCCCCTTTCTCTCGTCCCCTACTGTTGAACATTGCCAAGGAGATACTAGTGAGGAAAGGCAAGGAGGATGACGAGTCCATCCATTCATTTGTTTCTCGGAGGCTTGGAAAGGAGGTGAGGGGATCAGAATGATCTTTCTCAAAGAATATATAGGATAGACTTACATACGATGAACTCATTAACCAGAATGAAATCAGATTCACTTTTATTTGACACCAGTAGTCTGTCTCATGTGGTGATAAATACTGCCATTGTCTGACCTTTCCTTCCTCTTGTGTGCAGCTGGCAGACATAGCTGTGGACAGTTTGTGTCGGGGTGTGTTTGCGGGCGACTGCAGGAAGTTGAGCGTGCGTTCTTGTTTCCCTGTCTTGTTCAATGCAGAGCAGCGCAGAGGCTCTCTGACGCTGGGCATGCTGCTGGGCTCAGGTACCGCTGCTACACTCTTGTTTTATTCTTTTGTTATGTGAGGGGAACACAACACAAGAGACAATGTACGCTCTCATACAAGCACCTTAAAGAGGCCCTATTATGCTTTCTGGGTCAGCTCAGTGAGAGTCATGGTGGTATAACATTGTCTGGAATCTGTGCCTTATAAAGTTGTATGTGTGAAACGTGCAGGTCCCACTCCACTGCTCCCCCCCGGCCCTCTGGCTCAGAGATCACAGACAGAGTCGTGGGCCCAGTGGTCTCTGCGCAGTGGGATGCAGTCCTTCCCAGAATCCCTCAGTGAGTTCCTCCAACAGAGCGGCAGAGTGCAGCTGCACAGAGACGCTGGCGTGCAGCACATCACTCCTGCAGCCTCTGGGTGGAAGGTCAGTGAGGAGACTCAACCTTTAACTCTGCAATGTTTGCTCTCCAGAGGGGCAGATCTGGAAATCTCCTTCTTAAGAGGGACGCATTCCAGATTACTGAACCTTTTTCAAACCAAAGGGTTAACGGAAAAATCTCTAAATGTGGGTTTAAAGAATATAGGAAGTATTAAATATGTTTTGTTCGTACATTTTGTACAAACATACATTGTCCTCCTTATGATGATTTGTTATAACATTAGTTAGCCCCTGACTTATCTAATATAATCATTAATGTTGTTACTTTGTGAAAGTCATAGTAGTCATTCAAATAAAAGGGTAAAGTAAGAGTGACAGACACCCTGACTTCCTGCTCCTACACCACTTTAACTATATTATATACAATACCATCTGTCCCTTTCAGCTTATTATTTGTTAACACAGTGTTGTAAGAACAAAAAGAAAATATGCTTTTTATTTAGGATATTTATTAGGATTTTCCTTGATTATTTTGTTCAGGTATAGTACTTGAAGCTAATTGAATTGATGTGAATTGCTATATTTGACTTATTCTGCATTGTGGTGCTACATATTTGTGTATTACACATCTAATGTCTTTCTAATACATGTTTTATTGTGATAAAAGACTATGGAAATAAGAAATAATTTCAAGGCAAGTGCATTAAGGATCCCCAACATGTTCTCTCTGTGTGTGTGTGTGTTTGTGTGTGTGTGAAGATCGAATTAGAGGATGGAGTCATATCAGCTGACCACATCATCTCTGCAATGCCTGCTAAAGGTAATTTGTCTTACATGAACACAGAAGAGAATTCATGATATGCCAGACAGACAGATATACATACACACACACACACACACACACACACACACACCTCTTCTGTGGTACCTTCTGCAACAGTAGGGGTCTCATGATGACACACAATCACAAACTCACAATCTAAAAACACTACATACAGTGCATCCGGAAAGTATTCATACCCCTTAACTTTTTTCACAATTTGTTATGTTACAGCCTTATTTCTAAATGGATTAAATTCATTTTTGTTCTCAATGTCCCACACACAATACCCCATAATGACAAAGCAAAAACGTTTTTAAAGAATATTTTGCAAACGTGTTAAAAATAATAAAATGAAATATCACATGTGCATAAGTATTCACACCCTTTGCTTTGACACTGAACATTGAGCTCAGGCGCATCCCGTTTCCACTGATCATCCTTGAGATGTTTCTATAACTTGATTGGAGTCCACCTGTGGTAAATTCAATTGATTGGACATGACTTGGAAAGGAACACACCTGTCTATATGAGGTCCCACAGTTGACAGTGCATATCAGATCACAAACCAAGTCATGAGGTCCAAGGAATTGTCTGTAGACCTCAGAGACAGGATTGTATCAAGGCACAGATCTGGGGAAGGGTACAGAAAAATGTCTGCAGCATTGAACGTCCCAACGAGCACAGATTATTTATTTATTTATTATTATTATTTGCAAATGGAAGATGTTTGAAACCACCAGGGCTCTTCCTAAAGCTTGCTGCCCAAACCAAACTGAACATCGGGGGAGAAGGGCTTTAGTCAGAGAGGTGACCAATAACCTGATGATCACTCTGACAGAGCTCCAGTGTTCCTCTGTGGAGATGGGAGAACCTTCTAGAAGGACAACCATCTGTGCAGCACTCCACCAATCAGGCCTTTATGGTAGAGTGGCCAGAAGGAAGCCAAAGGCACATGAAAGCCCCCATGGAGCACCTAGAGTACTCTCAGACCATGAGAAACCAAATGGTCTGGTTTGATCAGAGTTGGGTGTAACGCGTTACAAAGTAACTGTAATAATATTACTTTTGTCGGTAACGGAGTAGTGTAACGCATTACTTTTATAATTCAGTAATCACACTACAGTTACTAACATTGCCCCGACACGCGTTACTTCGTTACTTTTATAAAATCAGTCATAATCACACTGACAGACAAGAGGGGTTTCCACCGCAGGTTTATATGTACGTAATCTGCGCGACTTGCGCGTCCACATCTCCATGTGCAGTGCTGCATAAACATGGCTGAGTCAGCGATAACTTTCGAGGGGTGGAGGTATGCCCATTATTTTGAGTTCGTCCGAAGAATAGACAGGAATGTGACGGTGAGGTGCAAACTGTGTCCAGGCCAGAAGCTGTTATCCACTGCTGCAAACACCACGTCAAACCTCAACAAACACCTGCAAAGAACACATGCTAAGGTGAAGCTAATAGCTAAGGACCCCCGAACCCAGAGTGAGGATGTTGTGAGTCGCCGCCGCCGACTCCGAAGCAGCACAAATTAGAATTTGGAGGACCGGTAACCAAAGCAGAGATGGACAGGCTTGTAGCATCCTTCATAGTAGAGGTAATGTTGCCCATTTGCACAGTGGAATCACCATTGCATCGTTCAGAGATATACTGCGCAAAATACAGATAGCAGGAGACAGAGGACAGCCATAGTCAGAGCTATCTGGATCAGTCTTATGCGACAATGGAAACTGAACTAGAGAACATTTGAAACTTTAGCAGTCTGCGTGATCTGCCTGTAGGGAGGGGCGGGCCGGCCCTGCGAGTAAAGTACGAGTAAAGTAACGAGTAAAGTAACGAGTTACTTTATGTAGAGAGTAACGAAGTAGTGTAATATATTACTTTTTTTTAAAGTAATATGTAATATGTAATATATTACTTTTTTTTAGTAACGACCCCATCTCTGGGTTTGATGAAACCAAAATGGATCTCTTTGGCCTGAATGCCAAGCATCATGTCTGGAGGAACCCAGGCACCGCTCATCACCTGGCCAACACCGTCCCTACAGTGAAGCATGGTGGTGGCAGCATCATGCTGTGGGGATGTTTTTCAGCAGCAGGAATTTAAAATCCCTTGATCCTAGTCAGGATCAAGGGAAAGATGAATGCAGCAATGTACAGAGAGATCCTTGATGAAAACCTGCTCCAGAGCGCTCTGGACCTCAGACTGGGGAGAAGGTTCACCTTTCAACAGGACAACGACCCTAAGCACACAGCCACGATAACAAAGGAGTGGTTTCAGGACAAGTCTGTGAATGTCCTTGAGTGACCCAGCCAGAGCCCAGACTTGACCCCGATTGAACATCTCTGGAGAGATCTGAAAATGGCTGTGCACCGACGCTCCCCATCCAACCTGATGGAGCTTGAGACGATCTGCAAAGAAGAATGGGAGAAACTGCCCAAAGAAAGGTGTGCCAAGCTTGTAGCATCATACTCAAGAAGACTTGAGGCTGTAATTGCTGCCAAAGGTGCTTCAACAAAGTATTGAGTAAAGGGTGTGAATACTTATGTTTATGTGATATTTGAGTGTTTTATTTTTAATTCATTTACAAAAAACATTTTAAAACTGTTTCCACTTTGTCATTATGGGGTATTGTGTCTCGAATGTTGAGAAAAGAATTTAATCCATTTTGAAATATGGCTGTAACATAACAAAATGTGGAAAAAGTGAAGGGGTATGAATACTTTCCGGATGCACTGTATCTGTCGCTTGCAGCTGGTTTAAATGTCATCTTAGTGTTTGAGCAGTTCAATTACAAATGTAAAAACAAAGTAATCTCTCTCCCCCCAGCCCTCTCCTCCGTCCTGCCCCCCTCCTGTCAATCTCTCAGCCAGCTGCTGCAGGACATCTCCATGGTTACGGTTGCTGTGGTAAATCTGGAGTATGAGGGTTCCATCCTGCCTGTCACGGTGAGAGCTGCAGTCAGACACACAGCACTTTGAATGGAGTGTTCAGGGACCATTAGATGAATGGGTGTAAAAGTGGTAGATGACTGAGGCCAAGAAAGAAATCTGTGCTCGGCAACATGTGTCATAAACAAACCGTCCTGTAGAAGCATCCCTCTCACTGTGATGTCTTAGTGACCACACCCCCATAACCATTTCAAAAGCAGTTTTTGTGACATTGTGTTTTCTGTGTGACAGGGCTTCGGTCACCTGATTCCATCTTCAGAGAATCCAGGTGTTCTTGGGGTCGTCTACGACTCAGTTCCCTTCCCTCAACACAACAGACCTGAAGGACACACTACAAGACTGACGGTGCACACACACACACACACACACACACACACACACCCGATCATAAGCTCTGTTGTTGAATGATAATGCACTGTACTTATATAAAGCTTTATTAGGTATTTTCGACCCCTCAAAGCGCTTAACATACTACAAGTGATTCACCCATCCATACCCATTACCCATATACAGAGCAGTGCCACTCGCTCTCAAGGTTCAAGGTTTTTTATTTTGTCATACGAACATAGCTACAGTGTAGTTATGACGATGAAAATGTTAGGTCACAGGCTCCTCCAACAGTGCAACACAATAACACAGGTAAACAGAAAACTATAGCGCAAGTAAATAGTAAATACAGAAAGAAAAATAGTTTAAAAAGTGAAATAGTGCAATAAGAGTCTATATGCGTCTATATGCAAGTTATTCGAATATGATGTATTAGATAAATAGATAAATAATTTCTAAATAGCAGCCAGATGAATTTTATGTATGTTGTTTAAAGTGGACCTATCATGCTATATTTAAATGATATATTGTAGGGCCATACCTATATAAGGTATATTTATACATTTCTGTTTTCAAAATACCAAACGGATCATGCATTTTAGCCATGCCTCATTTCGCTCTATGTGCTGTTTGCTGTCTACGGGTCTGATTCTGCTGACCACGCCCCCCTGCAGGAGAGGGGAGACGTGCTCTGATCAGCTGCTGGGCTGTCAGAAGAGGGGGAGAAAAAGAGATCTCCGTCCTCCGTGTTTTATTATATAGAGTTGTTATTCATTTGTTTTAAAGCTCAATAAATAACAAAGAAGACCTTTGACCGGCACTTTTCTAATTTTGTCCGGAAGATTTCAACTTTAACGGACATCTTGACCGGCGAAAGTAACTGAAACTGAAACTCTGCCGCACGGTCCCCTCGTTCCTTGGAAGAGGCGGAGAGGTGGGTGTTTGTCATCTGCTGGTGGACTAACCGGAGAGAATTACAGTGCTTGCCTCGACGGGGAGGGATTGCATTGAATTAAAGCAGCGGGAGCAAACGCTTGCCTCAGGGAGGGAGAAAAAAAGCCACAGCGGAGAATAAACAGAAGGGTAACCATGGTAACTATGGGCGGGAAGTCTTCTTCGCTGCTTTTGTGGCAGACTACAGCGCCACTTACAGGCCTGGCATATGTACTACAGCGTCTCCAGCGCTTTCGAGCGGCAATGGCCGGCCGTGGCCCAACCCCACATTCCCCTGATAGGTGGAGAGTTGGCCCAATAGCCGTAGCGCCACCGTCCTGACGTCAGGACAGTGTTCAAATCTGGATCAGTTTTTATCAGATCCGTTGCAGCCCCTTTTTTAGAGATTTGGGTATGGAGGAAAATAGAGAGGGTTGTGTTTTCTGACACTTGGTGAGTTCCCTGGAACACCGGGGACACACATTCATGTATAAAAGACGTACAAAAGTGCATTTTGCATGATAGGTCCCCTTTAAAACAGTTCAGTTGTTTAACAGTCTTATTGCCTGTGGGATGAAACTGTCTCTGAATCCGGTGGTTTTAGTCCGGATGCTGAGGTAACGCCTGCCAGACGGCAGCAGACAGAACAGTTTGTGGCTGGGGTGATGGGGGTCTTTTGTAATCCTGAGGGCTTTCCTCCTGAGCCGCTGGGAGTAGAGGTCCTCCATGGATGGCAGCTCCATCCTGGTGATGTACTCTGCAGTTTTCACCACCCTCTGTAAAGCCTTACGGTTGAGGGCGGTGCAGCTGCCGTACCAGGCCGTGATGCAGCCGGTCAGGATGCTCTCTATGGTGCACCTGTAGAAGGTCAGGATCCTCTCTATGGTGCACCTGTAGAAGGTCAGGATCCTCTCTATGGTGCACCTGTAGAAGGTCAGGATCCTCTCTATGGTGCACCTGTAGAAGGTCAGGATGCTCTCTACGGTGCACCTGTAGAAGGTCAGGATGCTCTCTATGGTGCACCTGTAGAAGGTCAGGATCCTCTCTATGGTGCACCTGTAGAAGGTCAGGATGCTCTCTATGGTGCACCTGTAGAAGGTCAGGATCCTCTCTATGGTGCACCTGTAGAAGGTCAGGATGCTCTCTATGGTGCACCTGTAGAAGATCAGGATGCTCTCTATGGAGCACCTGTAGAAGGTCAGGATGCTCTCTATGGTGCACCTGTAGAAGGTCAGGATCCTCTCTATGGTGCACCTGTAGAAGGTCAGGATGCTCTCTATGGTGCACCTGTAGAAGGTCAGGATGCTCTCTATGGTGCACCTGTAGAAGGTCAGGATGCTCTCTATGGTGCACCTGTAGAAGGTCAGGATGCTCTCTATGGTGCACCTGTAGAAGTTGCAGAGTATCCTGGAGTCCATGTTGAACCTCCTCAGCCTGCGGAGGAAGAAGAGCCGCTGTCGAGCTTTCTTGGTGATGGTGGTGGTGTGAAGAGTCCATGTCAGGTCCTCAGTGATGTGGACACCGAGGAACCTGAAGCTGCTGACTCTCTCCACCGTAGTCCCATTGATGGCGATGGGAGCGTGACCCTCTCTCTAGGAACTAACATTCACACACACCTAATCTCTGAACATAACCATGTGGGGATCGGGTCTGCTGCAGAAGTTGCCATGGTGATCTTGCCCTGTTACGGTAAACTCACTAAGGGTCAACATACCTTGCTAACACACTAATCTGGTTTGTCGCACCCTCTGCTGCTCTACGCTGTGCTGCTTCTCCTCCAGTCATCTGGCTAACCTGAGGTTGCCTTGTCTTCCAGGTGATGATGGGCGGGGCCTGGTTCCAGGAAGTGTTTGGGTCCCCAGAAACTGTAACAGATGAGTGTCTTTTAGCGAGAGCCACTGAGGCGGTGCGGAGCCAGCTGGGAGTCACCTCAGCACCCTGCTGGAGTTGGGTGGCCCTGCAGAAGGTACAGCACCAGTGTGTGGAGATACACCTGTTTCTAAGTCCTGTCAGAAATGCATTTAGGATTCTGTGACATCCGTTATAATATATTTGTCATCTCAAAGCAAACTGCATGTTTTTAATAGTGATGCAATCGTGCTATTCTTCTCTCTTCAGGACTGCATACCTCAGTATTATCAGGGACATTTTCGAAAAGTTGGTGAGTATTGACTCATACATTAAAAATGTTGTGGTGAAGCATTCTTTTTTTTAAATCCGTCTAATTTTCTTTACAGAGTCCATGCGTCACTTGATAAAGGAGAACAACCTATCGCTATCTCTGATTGGTTCCTCGTATGATGGAGTGTCAGTGAATGATGTCATCTTTAGTGGACGTACAGCTGCGGAGGAGTTGATAGGAGCTGCAGTTTGATGGAGCTGGTCGCCACGGGAACAGAACAGCCAGTGTTGCTCCCCAGGTGTGAGAGCAAAGATATTTTGATATTTGGGTAATGACGTTGGGAGTACAATTTATTTTTTTAAACCCATTTAACATGAATTCTTACTCATGTATCATCAGTGTGACCAGCGGACATGTTGTGTGTGTGGATCAGTGCAGTCAAGCCTCACCTGGACATGTCAACACTGATCAATATACATTATGCTGAAAGTACCACAGTGTAGAATTCAAATCAAATTGTAATATTCTAACATCATAAAAGAATGAAGATGTTGGAATTCACACATTGTTTCAATGATAAAGAGATTATTGCCCACCTGATTTGCCTACTGAAGACTCGCACTTTAAGTAAAGCCTCATTTGTCCCGTTTCCTCATTACTTGAAACATATCATGAGACTGATGGGCAATATGAACTGACATCAAATGATTTTCATATTATTCTGTCATTGCATCCGTATTGGTATTTTGGGCTCATGAATAAAAGTGAAAGACTCGTATTTGAAGTACTGCCATTCTTTCACCTCATGTCGCAAGATTGAGAGCAACTGATGTAAATACAGCAACTCCTACAATGAGTAACACAGCCAGTCAAATTGAAAGTGACCATATCAAGAACTAAGAAATGGTTTTATTTAATGAAAAAAAAAAAGAGTAAAAGCATTTACAATGTCATACTTGTACACTGAGCAGCACACACAGTCTCTACCGGAGGCCCAGCTTCTTCTTCTCTTTCTGCTTCTTGCGTACCGTTTCCATGTTGCGGTCCCTCCACATGCTCTTCCTCAGTTTGATGGGACGACTGCCGACGTACTTCCCTGGAAATCACAGAGCAGAGGAAGAATTTAGTATGACTGTTGAATTCACCCACTGGATCCTCAAAGACATGAATGAAAGGACTGACCGTTCATCTCTCTCATGGCTCTGACGTAGTCGTTGGGATCTTTGAAGCTGACGAAGCCGTAGCCTTTAGTCTTGCCTGTTCGTTTGTCTCTCACCACCTGAGGACAATCATTCTGATTATTTATGTGTCCACTACATACACAGACACATCATCTACTCTGTTAACGGCTCAGTGAGCAAAGGCCATATGCTAAGGAAGTCTGCAAACTGGGAAAGCTCAGGAAAAAGCTATTTCACTTAGATTTATGTCAATGTATCTTGAATGTTGTATCTGGGTTCATTATCGGTCTCTCACATATATATCCTGATTTTGCCTCCTGCATTACTCAATTATTTGTTTTGCAGTAACAACATTTACCTGCCTGATCAAATGTTGTCATGTTCAGAATGTCTCCAATAAGCTTAAATAATACACGTTGTTTTCGCATCAATTCATGGGGCTGGTGAGTAAAATGCCCTGATGGGAAATTACGTAATTTTTTTAAGTAATTAGTGCCTTAGAGTGATAACAGGATGTAAATAAAAGAAACAGCCCACCTTCGCTTTGAGGAAAGACGGGTATCTGCTGAAGGCTCTGGCCAATATGTCATCATTCACCTCATTGCCAAGATCACCGCAAAATATACGGAAATCATCTGCAAACATTTGAGAAAACAAGATTACACACACGTTAGCCTCATCCTGCAGCAGCCAATCAAAACAAAGAATTGTGATAACCAACCAAATATAAGCATTGGAAACAGTGACAGAAAACCCTAATAGATATTCATTTTGAAAATGTTATAGTTTATTACAAAATGCAAATATATAAAGAGGGACTACAAAGCTGCAGTAGATGCACACGGCAGCCTCAGAGGTTTTACTCTGCAAAACCTCTTCTGCTCAGACTCCAAATGTGCTGCTAACTTCAGCTCTTTTGGGAAAGCTACTCATCCTGGTTAATTCAGCATCTAACATGTCTAGTTGGTAAATGTATTGTCTTTTTAACTTTGTGTTTTCTCATACTGTCTGTGCTGCAGCACCTGATTTCACCCTCTGTCTGAAACCAGAGCCCAGTCTGCTCTGATTGGTTAGCTGGCAGGCTCTGTTGTGATTGGTCAACCGGTTAGAGATTTGTCTCTATCTTTATATTTAAACTGATGTTTTGTACCTGATTCCCAGTCCAGCAGACTGGCGTCTTCCCAGCTGGTTCCTGCTGCCGTACGGATACACTTCTTCACCTTCTCCGACTTCCCTCGCTTCTTGTCCTCTGTAGCACTTTCTACAGGCTGACACACACACACACTGAGTTTAAATAGCTTCACCAGCAGCAATCATACAGAGGAGGGGGAGTAATGTAGCCTGCTATATCATACTACAGATCAGCCTTAAAGTTAAATGTAACAGAGGTAAATATCTGATCATTTCAGTGAAGCAGGCACAGAAGAATTTCAGACTGTCCTAATGTAACATGGGTAATAGGATTTATCAGGTGATACGGTACACAGAGGACTGTTTGTACCTCATTGTGGGGGGGCTCGGGCTCAGGCATGCTGGGTCCGATAACCGTGCTGCTGTCTTCACGGTCCTTCTTGTCCAGTAGACCGGCTGCCATCACTGCTGCCTGCTGCTCTGCAACCCGCGCTGCCAGCTCCTCCTGAAACCCAGCAGGAAATGCCTTCTTTACAACACAGTAACACACAACCCCAACAAACAGACAACCAAGGCATAACAAATGTAGAATTATTTGTAAGATATCAATCAAAAAGCAAATACCATTCTGGCCTGTCTCTGAGCTCTGACATCAATCCTTTTCTGTGCAGCGGGGGTGGGTGGAGCAGAGTACACGGTCGGTGCCGCCTGGATAATTGATGGGGTGGGTTTGATGGGAGGCGGGGGTCCCTGTCTTATGGGCGGAGCTGACCCCATGGAGACCATATCACGGACCTGAGAGAGAGAAGGAGCAGACGCAAGATTTACAATTTCACCCCATGTGGAAAACAATAAGCAATGGTGTTGACTGAGAGAAACAGCACAGTGTCATTTGGGTTTATAGGAAGAGTTGAGACCTGAGGGGGGGCAGCCATGTGTTGGATGGGCTGAGGAGCGCCCTGAGGTGATGGGCCCTGCATGGAAGGAGGCATCATCATGGGAGGAGGAGGAGGAGGCCGGGGCATAGGAGGTGCCATTGGAGGACCCCGCATCATCGGCATCCTCTGACCAACTGTCAACACAGGTAGAAGCAGAGGTTGATTCTTTGTCAACAACATCACAAACCCAAAGAGAGTTTCCATGTAGGTCTGATTTATTGATTATCCCCCAAAAATTACTTGGAACAATTCTCCTGAAAACTGCCAATCTTACCAGGTCTATGCAGGATATGAGGGACAAAGGCCGGTCTCAGCATGGGAGGACGCATCGGAGGGACTGGGACAGACAGGAGACACAGTGAGTGATGAACAAACATAGGAAATAGCAAATGTTTACATTTTAAAAAGGAGGACATATTACACAAATTCTCAGGTTCATATAAGTATGTAGTGTCTCTACTGTGACATGTTTCCATGCTTTAAGGTTCAAAAAGCTCTTTATCTTTCTCATACTGCCTGTGCTGCAGCACCTCTTTTCACCCTCTGTCTGAAACCAGAGCCCAGTCTGCTCTGATTGGTCAGCTGGCCAGCTCTGCTGTGATTGGTCAACCACTTAGAGATGTCCCATTCCTTAGCATAGCACTTACAATGTTTTGAAGTGCTAGCCAATAAAAGCACAAGTGTTACATAGTGATGTCACTATGTTAGAATTAAACAACGGAGTCTAATAGGGCTTTCACACCAACGCGATTCCCGTTCTAGCTCCGTGCTAGAGCTCTTCTGGTTCGGAACCGTTTTTTCTTTTCAGCCCCCGTTTTGTTCACACCGCCCAGAGCCCGACGGGTGCTGCCGCTGCTGCGTCATGACGTCACCGTTTACGTCGCTGATTTTCTCCCCAACGGCGTTACGGCGCTCACTACAACAATGGGGGACTGCGTCGGGTCGATGATCGTGTTGCTTTTAATCATACGAAGCCAGATTAAATTAAATAACAACTTCTCCAATCTTATACTTTTCTCCAGAGTGCCGTGGGTCATTGTTTATTAATGTGTTTCAGCGGCATTTACCGACCGCTGCAGTGCTGGCTGCTCTTCCACGGGAGTTTATTCTCCCGTTAGCTCCGGGTTAGCTCACACGGCTCTAAAAGTATTCACTGTCTGACTGTCACACAAGCAGCTGATACATATCGCCAGTTCACCTTAAGTGAATGTGTGTCAGTCTGAATTGACGCTGTTTGGCATCACAACGCTGTGCTTATGAAAGTTTCTTTGGTATAAAATGGGTGATGTTAGCATAGCAACCGAAGCTAAACTGACTATAACTTGACTACTTGTTGCTATCCTATTGTGGCATAAACCGTTTTCTACAGGCACTTTTTACCGACGTATTTTTCATTATGATTCTACTTGTGATAACATAACATGACAACCTGTGCAGCCCATGTATTGATTCCATCCGATAGCTGCTGTAATACAAAACAAAACGTCTGCCTGCTCTCCACAATGATCAATAACAGCGAACGGATGGTCAAAGTAAGGTACAAATAAACAGAATCACACGAAGCCTGGTTAGTGTTGCCTGACTTGATAAAGTGTGTGTTTTTTTTTTTTATAAGTGTGTGGTTGCATTCTAGTCACTTTGCTCAGCACTACTGCTTGTTACAACTTTTATTTGCCGTACTCGCCTTTAACTGTTAGCTCAGGTTAATCTCGCCCCCCTCCGACGTAAGCGTGACGTATGCGGTTTTTGGTGCTTGAAACAAACCGGATTCCGGAGCTTAGAGGCGGCTCCGCTGCGGTGTGAACAGGAAAAAACTGTGCTTTTCAAGCTCTAGCTCCGAGCCGGCCCTGGAACCGCGTTGGTGTGAACGCCCCGTAATAGAGGCGTTTCAGGCGGCCTCTTTAATATTTATTATGATTTGAAAAAAAACCGATATTAGATTGTTAGGTTAATTTAACTCTTTGGCACACCCCTAACTTTAAATGATGATGAGCAGAGTACTTCCTACATTGTATGCTAATGCAAAAGCCTAGTTAAGGAATGCGGAGAGTTTATGTTCACCTGGACCGGCAAACACCGGGGGAGGACCAACAAAAGTAGCAGCTCTGGCATCTAATGTCTGCTGGACCTGAGAGAGTGAAGAGGGGGAGGGTCAGTAGACAAAATAATAGAATAATAATCTCAAGACATTGCCTCGATTAGTAGCTCTTTTTCTGAGACGAAAAAGCATTTTTGTTTCCATAGATCTGTCACCTTACAGTGAGCAGGGTAGATAGGACATTACTATTCAGAATGAAATTAGAAAAGTACAAACCTGACTGTAGGTGTTGGTGCCAATAATGGCTCGCATTACTGGGACAGAGAGAGCTACAGGTATTCCCTCCCCCGTCACAAGGGGGCTCCCCGATACTGCCACCGGACCACCGAGGACCTCCTGCTCAAAACTACAGCGAGACAGACAGTGTTAACATTGGTGAGAACATTCACAGTCTTTTATAGGGTGCGCTACTAGTTAATTCCCTTCTGGGTGGAAGTAACATATTTAAAAAAAAAACCCCACAAGAGTAAAATAGAATTGCAGTCAAAGAAAAGCCAAGTGAAGAGGAGCCATAGAGTCAAACTGCAGAAAATACTACCAATGCTAGAGGCTAAACACACATTTGGTTAAATTATCAAGATTGTTGGCAATTAATTCCTTTTTGATTGACTTACAGACTAATGAATTTATCCTATTAGCACTGATTTGGCATCATCAAAATGATCATAGACCTATTAAAGAGTTTGTTGGGTTAAAACCTGGCATCGAAGCGTCAGTGTTACTAATTGTTTTATACATACAACATATGCCTGAGGAAGGATACATCCTATCTGCCCCAGAGTGACCCCCTCCAATGCATTTCTTAGAATATGTGATCATTTAATCCTGTCATTGATTTTCCAAAGTAATTCTATCAACTGGAACATCTGACGTCACCAAAACATCATCAGTACAACAGATACACACTTGGGGTGTGAGCCGGAGAAGGCTTATAATCTGGGTGTTAGGACCACCTGATGTTCACCTAGAATATAATTGCTAGTGTGCTAGGCAGAACTAGTATTAAACGTATGTGTTTTTGGAGAAGGGATCTTTGAAACGGTGGTACTCACAGAGCCATCTCAGCCTCCATCTCTTTCAGACGCTCCTCTCCCGACTTGAGCGCCATGCTGTGAGACGGAAACAAACAGAAAGCAGCCAAATAAAGTCTCAGTCAATACTGTAACCGCTGAATACATAGATCAAATATGATCACTGCCAAACACCCCATTATTGTTAATAAGCCCACATAAACAGAAAGCGACCTTATAGATTGTAACGCACTTAGAAAAGGAACAGTATTAGTTTGCACTGTGAATCATTATATCAATATCAATGATCACTTTAGGAACGTATTTACTAATACACACCTCTATAATGTAGACGCGCTTGATGTGGACTGTTACCTCTTGCAGACTAAGCTTACTTAACACACTTGTAAGGCTGGTTAACTAAGCTAAGTAGAGTTAGCAACACACCAGAAGAAGCTAAGCTAAGTTAGCAGTGGAGCTAGCTCTGCTGTATCAACCAGCACACCGCTAATGGTAGGGCTTAGCACTGGGTGGTCAATTTTACTAGGGCTGATAGTAAACCTACTGAACAAGAAGGGGAAAACATATTTAAATATAAAAATAAGTCTGCAGTAGCTGCTCTGCTTCTTCTTCTTCTACTTCTTCTGCTTCTTCTTCTTCTTTGAGGTTTATTGGCGGTTTGCCACTAACGATTAGATGCATCACCGCCACCTACTGTTCTGGAGGGGGGACCATTCTTCTTCTTCTTGTATTCAATATTGTGGAATTATACCACTGTGTTTACATTGTTTTAAATTCTTCCAATCAATCCTGTTTCACTCAAATACTTAAGAATGGCCTTCCTGGTAGCTCTTACCCCCTCACCTTCTGTTCCCAGTATCCCCATCAGGCTCCACTCCCTTCCTGCCTCTCTGACCCTGTCTCTTAGTTGTTCCTTCTCTGTTTTGTACATGTTGCAGTGTAATATGATGTGTTCCACATTTTATTTCACTCCACACCCCCTGCATTCTTCAACTTCGCTTTTTCCCATTATAAACATTGTGCCGTTTAATCCTGTATGATCCAGTCTGAGTCTAGTGATGATGATCTCCTCCCGTCTGTTCCTTTCTGTATAGATCTTTATTATGACTGATTTCTGTAACTTGTGGCATCTCCTCCCTTTCTGATCTTCCTCCCACTTTTTCTGCCATATTTCCATACCCTTCTTCTTAATTATTGCTTTTCCTTTTCTTCTCCTTTTCAAGTGAAACTGGTATTGCTATTTCCTTCTGTAACGCATCTTTTGCTAACTTATCAGCATGCTCATTCCCTTGAACCCCCTCATGTGCAGGCACCCAGCATAACTGCACATCTAATCCCCTCCTCTGAAGTCTCAGTAAGCAATGGTTAAGTTCAATAAATAAATCTTCTCTAACAGTTATTGTCGATTGTATGCTTTCCAAAGCAGATAGTGAGTCTGTGCATATCACCACCCTATCAGGTCTGACCTCTTCAACCCATTGTAGCCCAATAATTGCTGCTGGTATTTATGCTGTATAAACTGATAAGTTATGTGACACTCGTTTTGAGATAGATATTTTGAATTCTGGGATATACACGCCTATCCCCACGCATTCTTGCTTCTTAGATTCATCTGTATAAATGTTGAGGTAATTGTAATACTTTTCGTTTGGGTACATAGGCTACTCCCATACTTTTAATTCTCACTTCATTTATTTGCCACTCTTTTTTCCTTTCTATGATACTCACATCTATGTTAGCTTCTGGGGAAAGCCATGGGGGAACACTGCTAAATGGGCTTGCTTTGGCAAACTTTATGGTCTCCACTCCATATGCCCTCGTTCTCTCCTTACTTGTCCAGCCAACCCCACGCCCCTGGAACTTTGTATATTCCCAGCAATCCTGTAGTATTCTGTTTGTGATATTTTCCTCTCCACTTCCTTGTAGCCTGACCCAGTATGACAGAGCAAGTTTCTCTCTTCTGATCTCCAGAGGTGTCTCTCCTCTCGGAGTCGGTTTGACTCGGTTTGCATCCATAAAGAATGCACAAATGTGTTTAATCGTTAATGTCAGATATGTACTAAGTAAATACATTTGTTCCTGCTCAAGATTAGATTCAACTTTATTGTTATTGCACAGATTACAGGTACTGAGACAACGAAAAGCAGTTTTGCTTCTAACCAGGAGTGCAAAAAGCAGTAAAGTGAAAAGTGATTTACACAATCTACAGAATAAAATAAAGAATGAATTGAATGATGAATAAACAGTGAGGGGTATGAATACACTAGTTATACACACAGGGCCGTTCCTGGCCAACGTGGGGCCCCAAGCGACATTGTGAGATGAGCGCTCAGCTCGATATACCAGCGAGTCGTTTCCTATTATACATCCATAGTCGTTTCCCATCAAGCATTTCGCTTCCGCAGCCCGTGGAGAGAAACTGCTCCGCCTCACTCTCAAGGCTGCCGGTGTTATGTCAAATTATGCACCCCCGTCGTGAAATGCACGCCTTGACACGGGAACGCGCATTTTAACGTATAGTCCGCTATACTATGTTGTCTTTTTGATGGTTGGGTTGTCGAATCCTGGATTTTGCATTCATTCGTCACTTATTTTTCAGTTAATTTTTTATTTAAATTGGAGCTATCATGCTATATTTGAATAATATAGTGTAGGACCATACCTATATAAGGCATATTTATACTTTTTTTTTTTCAAAATACCAAACAGATCATGCATTTTAGCCATGCCTCATTTCGCTCAATTTGAAAAATGTTAGCGTGTTTTTGCAAGGGCTGATTCTGTGAGAACAGCACCATCTACAGGCCTGGCATATGTACTACAGCGTCTCCAGCGCTTTCGAACGGCAATGGCCGTGGCTGTCTCCTCCTGATTGGTGGAGTTGGCCCAATAGCCGTAGCGCCACCGTCCTGACGTCAGGACAGTGTTCAAATCTGGATCAGTTTTTATTAGATCCGTTGCAGCCCCTTTTTTAGAGATTTGGGTATGGAGGAAAATAGAGAGGGTTGTGTTTTCTGACACTTGGTGAGTTCCCTGGAACACCGGGGACACATATTCATGTATAAAAGACGTATAAAAGTGCATTTTGCATGATAGGTCCCCTTTAATATATGTTTTTATTTAATTGTGACGTCCTGTCTGTATACCTGTGCTTGTACTTGTGCTTTACAATGTATTGTTTATTTTTACATCAAGTGCTTGAGGGTGGGATTAATAGAAACATTTTTATTTTGGGGGGTGCTTTTTATGATCAGCCTGGTTGCCACGATATGCACCCCTTGCTATCTCTGACAATAAACGTGTCACATACATGAAACTTGCTCCATTTATTGGTACTAGTCCTACAACTATACCCCCAAAGTGCTAGGGTGGGATTAATAGAAGCATCTTTTTGGGGGGGGTGCTTTTTACGGCAGGCCAGGGGGTGCATTTCACGACGGGGGTGCATCATTTGACACAACACCGGCGTCTTTGTCCAGCGAGATTTCAACGTCTCATGTAGTCGAGCCTCCAGAGCAAGTCGGACAACCATCATGCAACGCACTAGCAAGACGGCGATCGCAATTGCGCAGGTCTGCGTCGGTCTCGCTCATCTCAAACAAGCCGTACATTTGTGAGAAAATCCTGAGCACAACCACGGCGGAATATCACGTGACTTTTGGCAGTAATATTCCGTGACGTGAGAAGAAAAAGTTTTGTAGGCCTAGGCCTACTTGTAAAAAAAGGTTTTGTACTATGCTGAATTTGTCTCTGAAACATGATTTAGTAAAATGTTATGTGTTTGTTTGATAGATACGTTTTTTATTTGCTAAACTAAATGCATTAGTTTGTAGATGGTGTTTTGTATTTGCTAACCACACTGTGTAAGTGAATCATAAGGCATAACACTTGTTTAGTTTGTTTGTGGAGTTATGGCAGGAAATTAGCTCCATAGAGGTCACTGACTATTTTAATAAGAGCAGTCTCAGTGCTGTGGTATCTATCTTCTAAAACCTGACTGAAACTCTTCCAGGATGTTGTTTCCTCTCTAAGTTTGGTTTCTTTAATAGAGGTTTGACAACAGTTGTTTTAAAGGTATTTGGAAAAATTCCTGTTCTGAGAGATGTACAGAATGTTCATGTTTTAAACACCCTCTTAAAGAATGCTGTGGGTACCGGATCAATGCATGAAGTGGGGGGGGGGGTTACACTCAGTACCAGTCCTGCAGAGCTCTCCCAGGGTGATGCTTGTGAAACATCCCATAGTTACATCACCAGGTCTGATGGGATCATCTGTGTTTACACCATTAACGTTTGATACTGGTTCGGGTTGAGGTAATTTTGTTGTTGAAAAATACTGCAAGTTCTTCACACTTTTCATTTGAAGACTCTGGTGGGGAGGGGGCTTTATTTAGCAGCTGGTCAATGGTGGGAAATAACACCTTAGAATTTCTCCGATTTTCCATGATCATTTAAGAGAAATGGTCTCTCCTTGCTAAGCGTATTGCTTTACATGTAGGCAGTCATGGCTTATTTTTATAGCTCATGGTGAACAGACATTGTCTCTCAGCTACTCAGCAGTTTTTCTTTTACATTGTTTTCATTTAGCCATGGGGAGCCAAACGTTGTTTTTATTTTAATTTTATTGTTATTTGTTTAAGCAACAACATTTGTTTCAGTAACTTTGTAACATTTTCATTAAATTACATTTTTGAACGAAAATTGAAGTAAAAAGATATGATTCTACACTGTATTGAAGTAAACATGTATTATTTTGAATTGTATTTTAGTAAACATGTATTGTTTGAACTGTTTTAAATAATCACAATTGTTTTAAGTAATCACAACGGTTTTGGGTAATCATATATATAGAAAGGATATTCTCTCTTACAACTCACTGACCCAGAGATTCTGTGTCATACACACACCTTGCCTGTTTCACCCCTAAAAGCAGATGTCGTCATTAAGGTCGTTAAAGACAACATTACACCGCTCCTTATCACCCCTAAGAACAGATGTTGTTTTTTAAGGTCATTAAAGACATCGTTAAATAGGTGCAGAAAAGTTTAAATGTCTGAAAAGGGATACTTTATGTGAAAAACTCCCATGGGAAGGGGATGGAGTTAAGATCGAGGCAGAGATAGAGATTGACTTTTGACCTTATGGAACTTTGGAATTTCAAGTTCTGGTGAAGAACTATTGAACCCGACCAGAAGTGAATCCAGCCAGTCAGGACACTTGGGGGAGGTGATCAGCTTACACAGCTCCTCCTCACGGACTCTCTGATTCGCTTGGGAGGAAAATGGGAAGGAAGAGTCGACACATCTCCGCCCCAAAAATAGATATGAATACTGATGTTTTTGTATGTCAAAATGCTTCTGGTTTGCTGAGTGGCTGGTCCTGACATCTGTGTCCGCATCGCATCACAAACCTGAAGTCCGGAGTACTCTGTATAACTTGTATGTGAGTGGCTGGTCCTGACATCTGTGTCCGCATCGCATCACAGACCTGAAGTCCGGAGTACTCTGTATAACTTGTATATGTGTTTGGTTTCCTACCAGAAGTAAACTCAGATAATTTGTTATAACTTTGACTCCGGTGTTTTCAATTCCTTTCTTAATTTAATAGAGATCCAGCCTCATCCAACGAACGGCGCGTAGCAGAG